GGTTATTACGCTTTTTTTACATTTGTAATTAATGTTACTTTAGTTCATTATTGTTAAAAAAATGATTAAATGGATTTCGTTTGAAATGGTAAATTGTGGTTGCAGCGCTAACTATCGGCAGGGTTGGATATAAAACGTACATAGAAATTTCAAACCGTTCCAACAGCGTTGACGAAATGTACACTCGTGATCTTTTTAAATGAAAATTAAAGAAGGATGGCTAGCTCGAAGTCGGGGAAGGTCGGGTTGGTTTACTTTGAAACCCTGCGCAAGGCTAAGGGGCCGGAGTAATCACGACGGCCAAAGCAGGTAGAGAAGGAGTAATTTAGAATTTGTCACTACGGGATTTTTAAATAGGTTTATTGTAATAGAAACCAGCTAAATATTCGATTAAATTATCGAAAATAGCATAATAAATTATTTAATAAATTAAAAATTTAAATTAAATTTAATATAATTAATAAAAACTTATCAATCAAAATAGTACATACTTGTATCGTTTACCAAGTATGTATATTGTTTGTGGAGGTATATATGGTCCACAATGCATAGTAGTGTGCCATGCAGTGCATGGCACATGCATGGCACACTACATTGTTTCTAGGTCCTCTGACTAATTTAAAAGATACAAGATTATATTTATTGTGTTTAATACTTCAAAATCTTATTAAAACTTGACAAAGATATAGAAAAAAATTCATTCTACAATTTATAAAATTATTACGGCAAAATTGGTAGTTAGTTTAACAATTAATTTGTGATTGTAATTTTATATAAGAAATTAGGATGCTCTTTGGATACGCCACTGGATAAAGTCTGACCAATTTCATCTAAATCATACACGCCACTGTCGCTAGGACCAAGGTCAATTTAGTTTCCAAACAAATGCTCTTGCGTTGGCTTCAAACCGGTATACGGGCGAACACAGGCGATGCGGCTTCTATATATACAATTCTTTGGTTGTTTCATTGTCTTAGCGTCTTCTTATTTTTCTTAATGTTCTTATTATTTTTCTTAGTGTTTTTTAGTACCTACATAGTTTATTTTTATAGTTGTTAGGTTTTTGCGTTAGTTAGTGTTTCCTTAGTATAGTTTTTTAAGTTTAGTTGTATAGCTTTTGGGTATAGCTTTTGGATTCGTTAAAACGTGTTAATTTACAAAGGTAAGTAAAACATTTTTCACTAGTTCCTATAATAATAGTGTATGGATAAACATTTATTGTTTTTGTTTAATTATTTTAATTTTATTTTACAGTATGGCTTGTTGTGTGCCAAATTGTAAAAATGTTCAGAGGTTACTTCCTCCAGAGAGTGAAATATCATTTCACAGGTAATAATATAAAATTGTTTAAACCAAATATAAAAAGAAATAAATATAAAAATGAATAAAATTTTATGATGTAGATTACCTGAAGGCGAAATGTTTAAGAAATATTTGTTGCTTATTAGAATGGAACATTTGACATGGAAAAGTTCATTACGCATTTGTTCAGCACATTTCACTGAAGAAGATTTCATTGTAAAAGGTGGAAAAAAATGTTTAGGTCCTAATGCTCTACCTTTCCTTAATATTCCTGAGTCGGATCAAAGAATGGAAGATTCTACACTGCCGGAGATGAGTAGTTCGTAAGTTCGTTTTTATATGAATAAACTTTGCAATATAATTTATCTTTTATAATACAACTATTAATTAATTATAGAAGTGGAGATGGTAGTCGAAGAGGTTCTAAACGGTTAGTAATATTGATTTTTTCTAAAATTTTATTCCAATTATCATATGCTTTTAACATTTTAGGCAATTGGATTCATCTGGAAGCGGAACATCTAGTGGAACAAGAAGAAAGCGTGTGAAATTTATCCAAAGTATTCACAGTTACAGGTATACAGTCAATTTTGATTTAATTTTACTTTTTTTATTAACTCCCTAATGTTTTAGTTCTTCTTTAGAAAAATTTCGCAGCGTAAAACATAGAATAGGTAAAAAAATTGCTAAAAAGGATCAGAAATTAGCTTACCGAAAAAAAGTCATTAAAAGCCTTAGACAACAGATTCAGTCACTAAAACAAGTANAAATTTTATAGTGTTGTTTTTTTAAATGTTACATATATTTTAACTATTAATAGACTCTTAGTGAAGTTTATGAAGTCTTTGGTGTTTTATAATAGCTACTGCGCGAAATAAATTGCTATTACAATTACCTTATTTTGTATAAGGAAATTTTTTAGAAAACGACACAACTTTAGAAAACAAAAAAGATGGTATATCACTACTTGAAAATATTGTGTCGTTGGTTTCTTATAAAGTACAGAAAGGTCTTCATTTTACGCCTTTCCAAATTTCAAAAGATGTTTGTTGAAAAAAATTACAACCATTTCTATTGACGTCAATAAATACTTATATTTTTTGACCATTCAATCTTTTAAATTAAATATCTTGCGAGCGAACAAAATCGAACAATTGTAGCTAACATTTTTTTATTGCTGAAGGTATGGTGTACATAGCATAAGAAAGAAATCTTGCGCCAACGTGCGCCTTAACCAAAAAATTGGCAGTCAAAGATTACTTAACACATAATTGTGGATCTTATTTATCCTTGTTATGATTTTCGTTATTTTGTTGCTATGTTTTGGTTTTTATATTATATTATTCGCATTTTCTAAACACATTTGAAATGCACTTTCACCACTCTTCCGGTTATACCGCAAGTACCGTAAGTGTTCTTTCATTTTAAGTGTAAAAATTTATTTAGTAGTTTACTCTATTTAGTAGTTCTACTTCTAATTTTACTGCTATGATTAAGAAAAATGTTCAAATTTGAATTAAATTCTTCATTAATGTAATAAAATTTAGAAAAATAAAAATAATAATTACATTTTAATTATTTTGTTACCTGATTTTATTTGACTGAGTTTCCTTTATTATTTCAATTAAAAAATTAAATTTATAAAAACGTTTAAAATCAAATCTTCCATGAGTCCACCGGTTGCTACGGGTAACGTCTTCATTCAGTAATAACAAACCTAATTATCAAATCTGTGGTTTAAGTAAATCGAGTGTTTTGTACTAAGCAGGGATTGTTATCGTTGCTTGTTGATTTTTGTTAGTTTTTACTAGCTTTAGTTAGCGTTAGTATACGTTAGATTTCGCTAAATACTTGCAACATGTCGAGCATAACACGCGAAGCGCTTCACGACAGAATAAAATCTTGTGGGAATCAGCCAATTATTGAAAAAAAAAACTGTTTTAAAATTGATAGACAATTATTATTTAACCACTAACAACATGGATACCGAAAACCTGCATCGGTGTGTAGAAAAACAGCTTTTTAGTACATATTATCGGTTTTGGAAAAGTTGTGGTCGTAGCGACACAAAATTTCGCGCTAAACACAGCGAGTGGTTGAAAAAAAAAATAGTTTTTCTCCAAGTGTTCGAACTGTAAACCGACCATCCGCTGAATGTGCTTCTGGTAAGTACCAATGATATATTTAAACAATGTATGATCTATGATTCTATATCCGCTGTAACATAAAATAGGTTTTCGTGGTCGTACCAAAAAAGAATTTGAATCTTCGTCAGTTATTGTAAAACGAAGAAGGACAGAACAAATTCGCAAGACCGTAACTTCGGCAGAATTAT